ACTACAATGATATTTCTTAAGAGTTGATGATAGAACCAGCTATGATATTGTTTGGCTTTCTGACTTTCGACAAAAGTCAATATGAGTATTTAAGAATAATTTTCGATTAAATTAATGAAATAAGTAACAAGAAAAATGAAAGAAAATTTTGATAGTTTTATTGAGCGAATAATTCTGATGAAAAAAGATTCGAGAAAATCGAAATAATCTATTTTTTTCTAAAATAGTTAATAGTTTGAGAGGTTATATCTGTTGATCACTAACATATATTAAACATATCATCTTATTTATGTTCGAGTGAACGATAGAAACACATTAATTAATGTAGAATTCAATTATTTTTCAATGATCAATGAATAGATTATATCTCATCATTATAATAAAATAAAAAAAAAACAGTGATTAATAGGAATATATGATTAGTAATAGAAAAAAGTATATTATATAGAAATAATTTACTTATTAAATTATTATTCATTTGAAAAACAGACAAATACTAACATTTTTTGTTAAAGAAAATAATTCTAGAAAAGTCTTCTTCTCTCAATTGAATATTTTCAAAATAATCGAATTTAATATTAAATAATATTCTTCTTAATTGTCAATCTTGAGTAAATAAGATCGTTATAACTAATAGGATAGATTACATATGAAAATTTTAAATTTTAATCTTATTTTAATAGATATATTTGTTTAATTTTAGGAGTCGTTTATGTTAAATTTTGACAATTGACAAGATTGTAAACATATCCGAAAATTTCCTGCTCATTAAATAAATGATTGTTATATTTATTATTTAACATTCTCAATCAACATTAACACAATATCTAACAATGATTTATTTACCATCGAGTTCATTTGATGAAAGTGTTAAATTATTCAATCTTCAATGTGATGAACCTATTGCTCAAATTGAAGGTTATTTTAATTAAATTAAAAACAAAAACCCACATCCACACCCTCATATTTCAATGTTATGGAAGTTAATCTCCTACTGCGTATGTTAATAAAAATTATTTAAAATTTTCATATATATATTATATTGATTTAATATAGTGGAATGGATAGATATGGTAGAATATGAAATCGTTTGAACAGGTCGTTGTATTATGGTTTTCGAAGGTCATCTTAACTGAAGATAATTTCTGTAAAATTTGGGATTTATGTCAGGATTAAAAATGTTTACAGTATTACTGCTCATCAAAATTTAGTTTCAATTGTTTAATTTCAACGTATATTTTTAAGTTTAAAAAAAATCTGATTAGACAAGGTTTTATTATTTTTTTTTTGTTTTAGGTACTGAAGGACATTAATATGAATAAAGTTAACTATAACATTAGAGAATCAAAGGAGTGAAGACGTTTTAGATCTAATTCGGCCCAATTCGAAGACAATGGCTGTTTTATCAGAAAATTTCAGCGATTTTACTGCCTATATTTTAAGTTATTTCTGTAAGTTTGAGCTTGCTCAGTTGAAGTTTCAGTTCACTTTGATGGTCCATTAGGTAGGTACCTTTTTTTTTTTTTTTACAAAACTGGATAAAAATAGGTGGCCATCATCACTCATTTTTATCATGAATTTACGATCTTTTTATGGTCAATTAATATACCTACCATTCGATAGAAAATTTGATTTTAAACAAAACTATTCAAATGGATCGAAGTTAAAATGTAGGTATAATGATATAACGTCCAAAATACCTCCCCAAGGGGATCTGTCAGATGAATAATGGAAAAATGGTCATTTAAATGCATATAGATTTGTTTTTCAAGCATTTTATGATCGCCGAGTCTATTTTTAGCACTTCTTAGGCTAAATCAAGCATATTTTTAGTTTTTAAAAACTATACAATTCACTAGTCTCTTATAATCTAATCTAATCTTCATATTTCGTACAAAAGTGAAGAATATAGTTCAAAGTTTGAACTAAAAGTCGATGAAAATTTTCGATCGTGGTAAAGTTAAGCTCAAAATTAATGATAATAGCTTATAGTTTCTGCATGATTTTTAATAGTAAATCGGTATTTCTCGAATCAGGAAGAGTCGTACTCTTCATAACACCTACTGCGTTCACAAGTCTTTGGTTGAACATTAAATGACTGTAGTTGAAAATAGCATAGTCTTTTCTCTAAAGACAGTCAATTGTGTTTTTGTCGAGTCAATGCGTTATGCGTCCTAAGAAAGGGGGCCTAGAACTCTTTGTTTTAAAAGATGAAAAACGAAAGTGATCGAAATTGAGGAACCCAACTGTAGAGTCGGTTTTCAGATTTGATTTTTTCTTGATCAAAAAACGAACTAATTAGAAATGACTTTTTTCCTCGAATCAAGCGATGGTCATATGAAAGAGAATGAGTTTGTGATTTTGCAATCATGTGAAGAGTAACGTACTTATATATATTAACATTATTACAGGTACGATAATCTGAGTAGCATCAAATATATATGAAGGTTTTTACACCGCCAGTTCATCAAATCAAACGGTTTCGATGTTTGGCTATGGGTCGGTCAAGCTTTATTTGGATAGCAGTTATTTAATGTGTTTCTCTTTCTTTCCTTCCTAGATGATTTCCTAAGGAAGGGTTAATGTGTAATTCACACATTTTCTGTGATACTAATGTTCAATCAGTGGTTTTTTTAGATGGTGTGCGTTTGACCTTAACTGATGAGTTGCATCAGTCAGATTTATTGTAAATGGTTCTATCTAAGTGTGATTCTTGAAGTAGATATTTATCAAAAAGAAATATAATGCATATTATTGCAATCATACAAAAAAAGCATTCAGAGTCTCACCAACATTCGAATTCGTGCCGAGAAGCACTTCTGAAACTCAAAGCTTCGTTTTAATCGATCCTACATTAACAGTATTTAAGTCTACACTCATTATATTTGATTCTGGCTATATGTTCAATTCTTCGGATTTATTTCAGGAATTCTCACTCGTATTATTTCTATATAGTCAATATAACTCGAAAAAGATAGTATAATTATATATTTGTTAATAAGGTCACAACCTTTATGGTACATGTAGAATAACCAAATATTGTGGGTGTGGATATAAGATTCTATTCACTTATACTCACACACACACACAGCCACATCCATCTACCCTCTATGATGAAAATGAAACAATAAAAAAGAATGAATATTTGTTTGTGAAATCTCGATTGAATGAATATTGAATATATTCTCTCTTATTATTGTGGATTTAATTTGAAATCAAACGTATATCATCTAAAACTAAACAAAAAAACAATAAGATAGAAATTTTTTTTGTTTTAAACAAAGATCATCATCAACATCGAGTGATATAATTGTTCTTAATTATATTAATATTATTTATTGAAAATTTCTTAAAATTTAAATAATAAATATTTTTTCTACTAAATGATTTGATAATCTTCTAAAGATAAAGTATTATTTATATCGAAAGATTTATTAAAAACAAATCTTTAACTAATTAATAGATTATTTTATTTATTAAAATATATATAATAGAAAAGAATTTAAAAATAATATGAACTTTATATTCTGTATTATATTTATTAAACAATAATCAACATATTCAAATAAATATTAAATAAAAAATTTTATTCGAATTTTCTATATATTAGAAAAATAAATAATAGATATTAAACTTATTCTCTTTATTGAAGATCTATTCGTTTAATTAACTGAAAATAAACAAGGAAAATTTTAGAAATAATATCATCTTCATTATAATCAATATATTTTCATTCAACTTTTCTTTATATATTCAATAATCATCTTTCACACGAATCATTTTCTGTTTAGAAAAACAATAAATTATAAGAAAACAAATACTTGCTTTTTACTTTCTTCTCTCTTAGCAACTCTCGAAGAGGTTTTATTCTAATCATTAGAACCTTTTTTGTTCTGTTTGAAAGACTGTTTTAACCTGCAATAGTTTCTTTTAAAGTAACTATCGTTATTATTATATAAAACAAAAACAACATTCGTTTAAATAAATGAACATTTTTGGTACTCTTTTCTATCGAAATATAGTAGTAGTGCACTGCTTTATTACCACAAAAGGGATAGAGATATGAGTAGTATCGTAAGTAAAGTGGGGAGAGGAGGAAAAGAAAAAACTTAGACAAACATTATCTCGACAGTCTTACGAACAAAAACACAGAAAGACAAGTTATATAGATAGATCGACATGACAATTTATTTTTATCTCTCCAACTCGTCACTCATTTGAGAAAAAAAAAAGAATTTCTAATTATAGTATTACAAAGTTTTGAACATAATGGAAATTGAACCTACACATATATATTAAAACTTTTCTCGTTAGTTGACTTTTTTTCTACGTAAAACAAAAAATTTGTTTGAAGAGATTGTTTACTTTGAATAAAGCCAGCAATAACTGATCTATCACAAAAACCGGATCACTTTTAGTGGTAAATCGCGGTTAACCACCAATTTTTTCCCGATTTTCATCGCATGGAAATAATTAGTATGAATAATTGTGGGTGTGGGTGTTGTTGAAGACAACCAGTTGAATAACACCCACAGACGCATACGTTTAGTTCACAATATCTCTGGGTGTTCTTGTGAAATGGCCTTGAATAGAACGAGCTGCATTGTTTTATCTCTGATAAACAAATACGATCGAGAAAAAAAAGACATGTTGCATTCTAACCATCTTATCTGTTGATCTGACAATATTTTTCTTTTTTTGTTTGCTACAATTATCAGGACAGAGAAAAGCGACAGGCCAGGTATTTTGTCACTGCAACCGCGTTCGTGAGTTTTTAATACTTCAGTGTCAAATCCCTTCCCCTCCCTCTGAACAACACAGACTGATTAGCTCAAATCGAATGTTCTCTACATATCAACTCATATTTCAATATATCGAAGGTTTTTGTGCAAGGACTGCTTTATTTCTGCAGAATATGTACGATAGATAAGTGACAAGATTTTTCATCGCCGTTTACATCGTTTCATAGTCTGATTGATGCATCAATTTTTATTCATTAGATGACAACAGTCGAACAATTGAAAAAAGTTGGTCATGTGGTAATGATTTCGCCACCATTCTTCGGTCATATTATTCCATTATTGGATCTTGGCAAACGTTTATCTGTGCATCATCATGTTACTTATATTGTATCGGCATCGAAACTCGATGGAATTAAACAGCGTGGATTTCTCGTCGATAATGAAAACAACAAAACGAACGATTCCACTCGATCTGAAATCGAATTCATCGGCATATTTGATAATAACGATAGTGACTATGAAGTAAGTTCAATTTTATACAGGAATATTGAACTATACAATACAACAGTACTTTTTAAGATATCCAATTGAAAAGAAAGTGTACACATTGATCTAGTAGCCGTAATCGATCGAATGCGTGAACCTCTTAAACAGCTACTCTTTCCTAAACCTGGTACCTCGTTTTCAACTTCGATGCTATCGACTCGACCGATCGATCGTCCTATTGACTTGATCATTTCCGATATGTTTATTCATATGCCGATTCTGGATGCTTCTGAAAGAGATATAATTGCTCATGTTTTCGTGCCAAGCAGTCTCATAGCTCTCACGGGCTTCATCAGCAGTTCGAAGGGCGAGATTATAGCTATGTTGGATCGGAATTTTTCGTGCACAGTTCTCGAAGCAATGTCGCTTGCTAACGGACTTATTTGCAATTCGACCGATCAATTAGATCAAAAAATCGTTGATGAATTACGTCAACAATCGATTCCTCGTTCCGATTTGCCAATTCGTTTTTTAGCACCGCTCATGCCAGACGAACAGGAAGACAAGCACAATGTCAGAATTTGTTTTATTTTCACCATTCATTTTTATACTCATTTAGGTGAAGACTATCGCACGTGTCAAACAATGGTTAGATAGACAATGGAAATTAGCAAATGAATCACCGTCGGTTATTTATGTTGCCTTCGGTTCCGTTGCTTGTATGATGTCCGATCAACTCATTCAAATTGCTCATGCTCTCGCGCCATATCCAATTGTCTGGTTATTGAAAGCAAAATGTCACAATGATTTGCCATCGTCGTTTGCTGATAATGAAAAATATTTACTTCTCGATTGGGCACCATAACGATTCATTCTTTCGCATCCAGTCGTACGTCTCTTTATATCACACGGTGGCTGGAATAGTTTACTCGAGACAATGTTAGTAGGAAAGCCAACACTCGTATGACCCTTGTTTGCCGAACAGACTATCAATGGACATCGTGTTGAACACGAATTTGGTTTTGGTCGATGGATGAAAAATACTTATTTTATCGAAAATCAACGAATTCTATCAAGCGATGAATTGAAACAATATATAAAACAAATGTTTGATCAAGAAACAGAACATATTGAAAAAGCTCAACAAGCACGACAAATGATGATACAAGCAAGAGAGAATAGGTCGCGACTCTATTTCGAGGAGATTATCAAGATAATCGATGATCGAGTGACCGTTCGAACAGCGAAACATGATAAACCTTGATGAAATTTTAATGGAACGAGAAAATTAACTCTAATGTTGACTTATAAAATTATTATAGGTCACTGAATACGAGAATGGTGCGCTAAATATTCAGGATGAGTGTGAATGTAAATATGGACCAGAATTGTCACCTCATCAAGCTTGAAAAGTAGAAAGTTTCTCTAGAAACAATCCGAAAAATAGCGAAAACTTCTAATGTGTGAGTGTAGACGTAGAAGTCGGTGTAAAATGGAGAAATGAGTATCGATGTATGAGTGTTGATGTGGATCGGTGTCCCCTGTGAAAATATCAACATTCATACCTAATTTCTTCGTCTTCTTTCAAAAGTATCAGTTTTGGTTTTCACATAACTATATTCATCTGACTGTAGCATTAGTATTAATGCTATTATATTTTCATGATTTTTGTCATCTTCATTTACTCTGTTGATACCACATTTGATCACAAAAGAATTTTTAGATTTTCAGATTTGCCACTATTTTGTTTGAAAAAAAATTACACAAAATAAGTAGATAAACAGAGTTTACTATTAATTGAAAGCAGTCTCTCTTTCATCGACAACCTTTTTATGTTCTTACAATGAATTATCAGTTCAATCAATAAGAATAATAGAAAACTCTACATGTCAGTAAGAGCGATTTATTTAATAAGAATAGGTTTTCTTCTCTATCGAATTTGATACATGAAAAAAAAGTTTCGATTTCAAAAAGCGAAATACGTGACAATCCTGGTATGGGAGTAGGTGTTCCTGTAAAGAAGAGTGATCGTACTTTTCAACAACATTCACACACACTCCAACTTGTCTGTTCTACCATCAGGATGGCATTATCTGAAATTCATTGACAAAAATTTATAAGTAACTATTTTTCATAGAATATTGAAAAACATTGAAATAATGAGATGGAATAGCAGTTATTTTGAATCATTTAATTAAAAGAATAAGTGATAAATATAAGATGAGACGAGATGAGATGAGAATAGAAATTTTAGAATTTTGTTTATTATATCATTTAATTCTCTAGAATTCTTGTTCGATAAAATAGATAAACATAAATTGACACAAAATGAGCAGCTAAATGAATATATAGATGTCTCATATAAATTCCAATATATACGTTTAATTAGTAGAAAACGATCGTTGAATATTAGTGGAATTGGTGACGAGTAAAATACAAGATAATAATCACTTTCAATAGATACATCTACAGAGAATCAATTAGAATAAATACGAATAGATGATAATGTCAGATTAATCGCTGTATTTAACGACAAAGTATATCATCTGAAGAGATTTACTGGTAAGTTTTCATTTGGTGAAGAATAATAAGGTTAAAATCATTATGAATATTGTTGACTCCTACTACTGAAATGGAACATTGTGTAGTAATCCATACACCACTAGAAGCATTCGATCCTTTATGAAAAAACAAAACTAGACAAGATAACTCGCTTTCAATGTTGAGCATATTTAGTATTTTTTGTTATTGTTTGGTTGGCATCATAATTGAACATTGTGCATTCTTGAAAACTTGTTCTATTATCAGAGATATTATTCCTACTAGGATTTGAGATGAATATTTTCCCAGATAAAAATCTATCAGTCTATTATATAATCTAGATATACTTTTTTTATTTAAATATTCGACTTTTTTTTAAATGAACTTGATTTGAGATTTCTTTGACAAATGGATATATATATATATATATCATTTGATTAATATCATTTTGACAATGATTCAATATAATATTGTTAGTATAAAATATTCCGTTCAAGTGACCTTATTGTTATTAAATATGTCTGTTTGTTAATCATTGCTGATGTGATATTATTTGCTGTTATTTTAAATAGTAAACAAATCTACTTTTGTATTATGCTAGACGAATAATTCGAAGAAATTTAAAACTCATAAGAATTATTTGAGTTTTACATGTATGAAAATCAGAAGATGTTATCATTGGTATATAGATTTTTGCAGCTTCTTCTGTAGTATGGCTTAATGATTCAGTTTGATTTCGATACTGATCAGATCTGTTCATTTGAGCAATTATGGATTAATTAATCTGAATGTGGATTTCTAGCGATGATTACTTAACATGTACTCATTCTATTTATTGAACTATTAAAGATCAGGTACGGAATAAATTATGCGCCTCACACGGAAATATATTGAATGAGAGTAAACATGTCATTTCCAGTCAATAAATAAACGAATTGTGTTCGATCATTATCAATTGATTATGTTTTTTTAAGGACGTCAAAGTTAAAATATTATTTCTTAAATTCATTGAGAAAAATTCATAGAATTTAAATCTATTTAATATGAGATAAATATTTGACGAGTTAACTTCTAAAAGTATAAAAATAAGAAATCGTTCTCGATTTCGTTAATATTATTTTAAATCAATAAATTGACATTGACATATTCTAGTCTATTATGTCAATAATCTATCGTAGAATTTCATCAGAATATATTTCAAAAACGATAAATATCCATTAAAAAAACCACATTGAACAATAAATTCAAAGACGAATGAACTTAATTATTAAAATTTAATTAAAAAAAAATAAATTAAATATTTGATTTGATAGGTGAAAAAGTTAATTGATGATTTCGTCTAAAAGCTTGAACAGCTGTTGAAAGTGTAGGTGATTTAATTGATCCTATTTTAAGATCATCAATTAAGATTTGTGGTGTAAGAGAACGTGGAATAAGAACAAGTCGAACTAATAATGAAAAAGCAGCTTGACCATTTTTATCCATAATAATAAATTGTTCCAAATAAAATGCTTTATCATCCCATCCATTAATACGTGTTAGGATTTGAAATTTATCACCTAATTTAATAGGTTGACGATATTGAACTTGTAATGCACTAACAAGAATAGTTGAATTTTTCATATATTTATTTCGACGTTGAATAATAGCATTCCATAAACCTGTTTCAATTAAATAAGAATAACGACCAAAATCACATTCACGTAAATATCTTGAATTATTCATATGAAAATTTAAATCAAGATCATTTGGCCAACAACGACCATTAATTACTGATTGAGAAAATATATTTTTATATTTTTTATTTCCTTTATATCTCCAAAGTAATACGAATACACGAATAGCATATCCTATATCAAACATTTTATTATATCTTTCATTTCATTTCATCTATCTATACATTAAAATTTAAATTAAATTTCATTGATTATTAGCAATGACCAATAGATAAGGAAGAGGTCGCACCTCAACTCAACTCAACTCAACAAACAGGAGAATAACAACTATTCACTTATCGATCGATCATGTTTTTAAGGAAACAAAGATAAAGTTAGCTCGAAAATCGATATTTTCATCAGATATGAAATTGAGAGAATATTTCTCAACTCTTTCTTAAAGATTCGAATAATAACCAATGAAAAAAAGCAAACAATATTTTATTTTTCTCTCATTCAATTGATTAAGACACCGATCTTCTTATAGATGATAATAGAAGTTTTATCGAAATTTTATTTTCATTAAATTCTATGTGAAAAATAGTCGACTGTTCATATCACCGAATAATCAATCTCATAAAACGTACAAAAGACATGAGAAGAATTTTCACTAATTTGAACGGCTTTTCAAGTTAAAATACATAAAATAATGTTGAGTGGCGTATCATTTAAAATAAATGTCGATATTAGAATTAATAATCGAATTGATTAGTTTTTTAATAAATTAAATTTGGTTAGTAAATTCAATCTATTATCTTGATTTTTAACTATTTCTATAATATAATAAAATCTCAATATATGATTATGAAAAGTTCAAAGTTACAAATATTAAACTTTAAATATTGTTTAATTATAATTTATCTTATTATGATAGACTCGTTTTATCAATTGAAATAATATTGAATTAACTTATTATTTGAAAAAAAACAAAAGTCAGTTAAATGATAAGAAGATGTTGCCGTTAATGTTTGTTAATATGATATTCTAGTTAATATTTTGTTAAAATAAATATATTAGAAATAAATATAATAATATATTATATTAGAAAAGTGAAAGACTAATGTTTGTTTGTCGATGAATGTTTTTATATAAGTGAATTAGTGAAACTGTTAATAGAATAAATAAATAAATTTTTTGTCGAAATAGTTGTTTAATCGATAAATTCGAACAATAATATAGATAGAGATAATTTATATTTATTTTAAATATTATCTTTATTCAGATTGAAATTCTTATTTATAATGTTAAGATTTGCACGAATAATTATTAATTATTGATTAAATTATCTCTGATTAAATCATTTTACTAGTTTTGTTTTTTTCTCTCTTATAAGACCAAATTCAAAATACTAAATGAATATTTAATTTAGTTTAATTAGATTTTTCCATGAAAATATTTAATGAATATGTTTTTGTTTTTGTTTTTTATTAGTGAAAAGTGTATAAAATAATTGATAAATCATTTTATTTTCTATGATTGAGTAGTAATTATGATGAAGAATGATTTTCTAACGAATATTTTTATTAATTGTTCGATAAAATTCTATAAATTGATGTTTTTATCGTCAATAAAAATCAAAGTTGATTGAATATGTTATATATTGATAATGTTAATATATAATAAAATAATATTATTTCATCAATGTATTTGTCTAGTATTGTTGATAAATATTTGTTTGGTTATTATTATTTAATATTCTATTTATTGTTTGTTCAATAGATAATTGTTCATTGATGAGTAATTGATCATTAATATTATCTTTACAATATATTGATTTATTATTTGTATCAATTAATTCAATCGATGACATATTATCATTGATTAAATAAGTCTTTCGATTAAAAATACGTTGATAACGATCGACTAGAACTGAAATAAGCATACCAATTGTAGCTGCACCAGTTAATGCACATCCACAAGCTATTATACGTCCAGCAGTTGTTATTGGATACATATCTCCATATCTATTATTAACATATTTATATGTCTTTTTAGTTTAATGATAATACATACCCAACAGTCATTATTGTAATAATAGCCCAATATAATGATTTTGGAATTGAATCAAATACAGCTCCATTATCTTGAACTTCAGCAACATAACATGCTGATCCAAATAGAAATGCCAAAAGAATAATACCAGAAAATGTTCCAAGAAAATCAGCAAATGATTCTTTTATTGCTATACCAAGTGTATGTAACGCTTTTAAATATTTAAATATAACAAATAATTTTAATATACGAAATAAACGTAATATAAGTAATATATTAATAGCGATTATTGTCTTTGAATCAATATGAATAAATGAACTATTTATTGCATAACCTAAATAGACAAAGTAAGGAATAATAGCTGATAAATCAATATATGTTAAAATGGACGTAAAAAAACGTTTATAAGATGGAGTGCTTATTAAACGAATAAGAAATTCTATTATAAAATATCCAACACATATTGTTTGAATTATAAAAAATGGTGAATTAAATATGTCTGAACATATTGGAATAAATGTTGTATTTGAAGATAAATTAGATTGTTGAAGACAAGCATTTAATGAATAACCGGCGAATATAGGTAATGTTTGAAAAGCCAAAGTAAGACAAGAAAGAAATGTTACTATCATTGATATTATTGTGATTAATGTAGCTAATAATGAACTTTGAGGATATTCCATAAGACACCAAAGTCGTTTACGCCAATGTTGTTTTGGCATAAGTGGAATTATTATTTCAGTTATATTTTCTGATTGTTTAACTTGATCATATGCATGTTGACCTAATTGAAAAAAAGATATTTCCTTAAGAAATATATCTAATGAAATAGAGTTTGGTCTAATAAGATCTCCATTTGATTGATAATAATATAATATTGATTCGAAACAAGTTCGATGACGATCAAAAAAATATTCTTGACGTTGATTATTCCAATAAGATTTTCTTTTATATTCATTACCTAAAAGTGTATCAGGATAATTTTCAAGAGTAGATAATCGTGTTTCATATCGACATCCACTAACATTTATTGTCACCATTGGAGGTTTAATATTTTCTTTATCCATAATATAATCAACAGGTTTATATGAATCAATTGATAACATTTTATTATATATTAATTAACTTTAATTAATTAATAATATTTAACTGATAGATTTTATTTCAAAAGTAATAATTAACAAATCTGTTTTATTTTATTCGATGATATTAACGCTATGCTGCCATTTAAAATATTTATTCAACATCATCGATATATTTCAACACTAAATTATCAAATAAATTCAAATTTAAAAAGTTTATTGAGATTAATATCAACTTGACAAGACTATATTTATTCTTTAGGAACGATTTTTAGAACTTATATCTATATACAGGGTGTCCCATAAGTAACAAGACAAGGAAAAAATGTTTGAATATCTCCATTAGGGCTCGACCAAATGGGCTCAATTTTTAATCAAGGATAGAGGCATCTACACACTCCAAATCCATACGAACAAGGTGAATGAGAACCTTTGTTAAGTATCGCTATTGACCTCAACAATAAAATTTTTGCTTTGTCACTGGTAAGAAAAAACCAATATAGAGGATAGTGCAAAAGTCACTTTATTGAAAAGAAAATTAAATATTTCCATTACGGCTCGAGCAACCGAGCTGATTTTTTTACCAAAAATAGAGGCATGCTTATACTTCAAATCCATACAGACAAGCTTAGTGAGGACCTTTGTTAAGTATATTTTTTTATTTTCCTGTCTGGGAAAAAGTAAAAATTTTATTGTTGAGGTCAATAGTGATACTTAACAAAGGTTCTCATTCACCTTGTTCGTATGGATTTGGAGTGTGCAGATGCCTCTATCCTTGATTAAAAATTGAGCCCATTTGGTCGAGCCCTAATGGAGATATTCAAACTTTTTTTCCTTGTCTTGTTACTTATGGGACACCCTGTACAGTGACGGCACAAAATTATTCATACGATTTTGTTTTAATAATAACTCAACATCACATCGGCATTTTGAGACACGGAAAACTGTAAAATGACCGCCATGACCTCTAGTATCTACGCTATAAATATCAAAGCGATTGACTTATGTGCGTTGGAGATATTACTGGGAAAACTAGGCAATTTGTTGGCAAAAATTATTCGTACGAGCATTTTTCCTGATAGGCCTGAATCAATCAAATGACTTCCAATCAGCATAGAATCGATCAGGATAGTGGTAATCGACCACGCTGAGTAGAGTGACGATGTTTGTTTTTAGATTCAAAATGATCTGAGGTCACGAAATCAACTTTGAAAATGTTCACTATATACTCAATATAATGACAAAATTTTGGAATTTCGAAAATTGATTTCGAGACCTCAAATCACTTTGAATCTGAAAACAAACATCGTCACTCTACTCAGCGTGGTCGATTACCCCTATCCTGATCGATTCTATGCTGGTTGGAGGTCATTTGGTCGATTGAGAGCTCTCAGAAAAATGCTTCTAGCTCTTCTTTGATAAAAATCCTTTGATAGTAATGTGGCAATATCTTCAACGCGTGTAAGTCAAACGATTTTATATTTGGAGTATAGATACTAGAAGTCATCATGGTTATTTTGCCGTTTTTTGCATCTCAAAAATACCGATGTGATGTTGAGTTATAGTTAAAACAAGATCGTACGAATAATTTTTGCCGCCACTGTATATATATATATATACTTTTTTATTTAGTTCCTTTTAGAATTTCTTCAACAAACACTAATAAAACAAAAAAAACCTTAAGCCTTTTATAAAAACAAAATCTAAAATACGGGTAAATCTAAAATAAAATGATTCTATTGTTAGGAGATTATTTATCCTCAATGTTGATACCAAATCTCGAAACTTGTCATAGATCTTAACATTAAATATTATATTAAATTAGTTAAAAATTTTAAAAAAATGGTCTGCGCAATAATAAATGTTACTGTTTTTGCATTATCATTATTCCTATTTAAATAAACTAATATTAAACTAGTGACACTAGATGAATACTTTATTTTTTATATTTAAATAGATAGGTATATATCATTTTGTTTTTCAGATGCTAAATATACGTGTCCGATTATACTCAAAATATAAATATTATTGTGTTAAATTAACCTTTAAAAAGTTCAATATGATCGTATTATCTATTTGATATAAAAAGAGATAATCACCTATAGAAAATTCTGTTAATCTTGATCAAAACAGGATTATATGAATAGTGTTAGTTTTTGTTTTTGTTATCGTTTTTGATCGAAATAATAAACTGAATGAATTTATTCATTGTTCAATTGATGGTCTTTTTCAGATACGGTTCACTATCGAGATAAATAACGATCGAAAACGATATATTAAACATAAATTAATGATAATAATATACAAATAATGGAGTAAACAGAAACTATATTAATAAGCAAAGATTTTAGAAAATTTATAGTAATTTAAAAAAACAAAAAAAAACTTGATACTCTACTCTACTATTAAAATAAAACAATATTATATAAACCTCAACTTAACAGATAATTCACATCTTGTTTATCTATTTCTATAAAAACTGATTCTTCTTTGTTTCATCTTCTATTAAATAAGTGAAAAATGATAAGATTTCGATAAATAGCCTAAAATATCTGATTATTTATTTCTAGTTTTAAACAACTTATATATTTATTAAAAAGTAAGATAAATATCTATATTAGAGATAAACAAGAAGAAATATTCTGTTCATCAATAGAATTTGAGATATAGATATTCTCAATTATAATCCTAATTATTATTCGTTTCACTCTCGAATGAGATACATATACGATAGGATTAATCTTATATTCGATCTTTAATATAGATCTTCAAGTTTAATATTATCATAAAACAATAAATAACCTTACATTTAATCTCATCTATTACGTTTATATAATTAATTGATTATTTAATAGAATATAAAATGAGAGTTAACTCTTTTGGGAAATGTTAAATCATTTTTATCTATAAAAAAAAAAAAAAAGGTTCGATAAAAATTGATTGATTATTAGAAGTTAAAAAAAAAGGTCAGTTATTGTTGATTGTCATTTCGTTAATAGATAATTAACTTATACGATATCGATTATTTAAGGATTACTTATTATCTATTAGAATTAAATTGAGAGAAAACTAATTGTTTACCGTTTCGTCTCGAAATAAATAGTTCTTAGGTTTGAAATGGTCGTTTCGCGATCGATGATCAACCATATATTATAGATTAATTATATATGTTCAACTACAGATAAATAATTCAATTAGATTAATAATAAAATCTTATTTGGAGATTTTTAAAGAGTTTCATTATCATTAGAAATATTTTAATCAATAAAGTTCGATTTTCTATATATTAATTAATGATAAATGTCATAGATCATAAGAGAAATATTTTGACAATTTTATCATAATAGAATAAGATTCATTGGATGATTAGTAGATGATAATTTAGCCTGTCAAAAGTCACTTCGAATAGGAGAGATACTCATATTTGAACAAAAAAAAACCAAGAGAGATAATTTGAAATAGTGTGAAATAATGAATAGAAGATAAATACAAACTTGAAATGTCTAGAATAAATGTGTTGTAGATCGGTCATGTATAATATAAACTTGATTCGTTTATTGACTGTACTATTTCTTTTGTTTCTATGCTCTAACAAAAAAAAAAACGTTCATCGGCAAAATCGATGTTTGCGCATGAATAATCACATTTCAAGGAGGAAAATATATTTAGTTTTTTTTTTCTTTTTTGCTGCTTGATAATATTAACCTAACGAATACTCTCCTATATTAACAAATAGAGAGAACAATATATATTCATCTATTGTTTCGTTGTTTTTTTTTGGTTTTTATCTAACCGATATAATATGTTAACTGATTCGATTCTGTTCATTAGAGTAAATCATTGTTTGTTCAATTTCAGGTTATATTGATAAAAAGAAAAAAAAAAAAAAGTATTATCACAGTAGAATATAAATTAAAATTAAAAAAAAAAGAAGGAAAATATTGAATAAATAAAAAGATATTTTATTTAAATAAGTTTGTCTGATCGATTGTAAATGATCAATTAATAGATAAGATTTTGTTTGAAGAATTTATCTCGAATAAAAGTGACTTTTTTTCATTGATTTTATCTAAAAATCGTTTTTCATAATTATTTATTTATTTATTTTAATTTAAAATGAAAAAAGAAAAAAGTTAGAATGTGAGTGTAGATATTGTTTTATATTTATAGTTATTAAAAATTTCTTCATTTTTTGTAATAATATTATGGTAAAATAATAATAACAAGAACAAAAAATTTTCAATTGATTAAAGAAAATATTTTGAAAAATATCTAGAAGAATATGTGATTATGAGTATAATGTTAAAATTTAAAGGTTAAACGAAGAGTTGATACAATCCATTCAATCGTTGATATCAGACACGATTATTGTTTCAATCTATCGGAATTAATCGATAATACATTAACTATTTTAAATATATCAGATTATATTAACGTTCAGTTTTATTTATAATTAATATTAGTTATTAGAAATAAATGCAATTAATTCGATCAATTTTATGAGATTTTCACCGGTTTTTTTTAATTCGATTATAATGATTAACAATAAATAAGTAAAGATTTAATCAGATGTTAAAAAGTTTTAAATATATCACTAAAATCGTCTTATTATATAATAAAGTTGATAAGATAATATTTGTTCAAATTAAAAAATAATATTTTTCTAGATGATTTATAAAAAATTTCCTATGATTGATATTCAATAATCAATCATTGATTAAAATATTTATCAATAGATTTTATCAAAATAAATTTTGTTTTTCCTCTTTTCTCCTTCATTAAATAAATGAAAAGATAAATAAATAAGTAAATAACATTCGTTTGATATTAAATATCGATCGAATAGTTCTTACTTATTATTAATAATATATATATTATATTAATCATCTAAAATCGTTTGATAACAATATACATTAATATAAACACATTAATATAAATAAACATTTATTTATATTAATATAGTCCTTAAAATTATATCTTTTATAAGAATTTTTTTTTTTTTATTTGTCGTCTCGTTTTTATGAAAACTTAATCCTATTGAATAATATTTCTGTTTGCAAATTCATGTTAGGATGAATGAGTGTATTTTTTTCAAATAATCATCGATTTTCTTTATATAAAAAGTAATTAGAAAATAATGACTGTTAAATATTCTGAAAAATTTCAAATGATTTAAATCTATCTGATTTCGAAATTAGTTATTCAGGTTGGAGACTGTTGATTAACGATTTAAACAACTTATTTATATAAGGATATCTAAATATGAATAGATTATCAAATAAATATTATTTAACAGAAATAATTTAAATAGAAATCGAGAGATATTTACAAAATGATTAAAAAACAATCTTTATTTATATTAAAATTATTTTTATAACTTTTATTTAGAAAAAAACAAAAAAAAAGAAAAGCAAAAAAAAGATGTTATTTTGATTATTCTCAGTCAAAATCGACTAAATGGAAAAAAAGAACAAATGAGATTATAGATATTAGTCGAGTCATCCTTGGATTTTCTCCTGTTATTTACTCTCTCAATGATAGACGACACTCTATGAACTCATTCAATATAAAGCTGCGCAAAAACAGAAAGAAAGAAAGAAAGAAAGAAAGTAGAAAAATTTTCCATCTAATAAAAATGCACTCATTCACATCAAACTAGAATTTATTATCGTAAACATCATTTTAATAAAAATCAAAAAAGAAAAAACTTCGATTTTGTGCAATTGAACAAATAAAATGGGTGGAAGAAGTTCAAAAAAATCGTTTACTCAATGGGATTTAATTAAATATAGTAATATGACAAGTAAATTATTTTATTATTTTTCTAATTATAATTGTAAAAATAAATATTTTATTGAATAAAGATATACCTCTAACAACAGTAGAAAAAATTTATAAAGATTTTCTGATAAATACTGGTAATACAAACAAAATGGACAAAGATGAATTTCGTCATTTATATAAACAAATGTATATTAGTGGTCAATCTCAAAATAATCGTATACCTTTTATTACCGATCATGATTTGAATAAAATGTCAGATCATGTTTTTGAACTCTATGATTACGATGGTTCAGGTTTTTATTTCAATATTATTTGTTTTTTTTCTTTTGTTTATTAATTAACTTTTTTCTATTATTTAGGAAAATTAACTTTTGAAGGTAATATTGGAAAATAAATTCGAAATCGAATCATTTATTTAATATCTTAATAGAATTTGCTGAAATTTATTTAATGCTTAATCATTATGCTGGTACATTAAATGATGGTAGCACACGTCGTGATAGATTCAATTATATATTAGATCAATATGATACAACACCTGGTCAGTACAATCTATTTTAGTTTTTAGTTTTTAAAATAATATATATATATATATTAAGGATATATAACACGTGAACATGGTCAACAAGTTTTTAATTATCTAAATAAATATAATAAGTAGATTATTCGAATATAAAATATAATTATTTATTTATTTATTTATTAAATATTAGTTTGTCAAATTTGGAAAAGATTAAATCTGAAAATTTTCAAGATCATTGGAATAAACTTGATGATGGTAATGGTCGGTTAGTTTTATTTTGTTTCTTTGATATAATTTATTATTTTTATTTCTGAACAGTGTATCGAAAGATAAATTCGTTGATTATATTACCAAATCAAATGATTACAAAGATTATTTTGATCAAAAGACTATTTAAATTTAATCAAACAATTATTTATCGGAATTCGAATAAAATAACTGATTATTTGTTGTTTAATAGTTAATTTAATTAAATATTTATTCATATGTTTAATCTAGCCATTAATCTCTAATCATTTTTTCAAAATAAAATTTCTTTTTATCATTACAAATTCGATCAATTTGAATTAAAACATATTTATTTATGTGTTTGTTTAATCAGTGTCTTTGTTTCAGAATATCAACCTTATTAATAAATAAAATAAAATCTTTCTTTATAATATTATTTATAGTTCGGAATGTATATATATATATCTCTTATAGTTACTTTTAAATTAAATTGAATAAATGAATATTTTATATATTTATTCAGATTAATTTTTATTTTCGATGAGATAATTATCTTAAATAATTAATAAACAATAAATAGAAATGATGACTAACAATAAGAATAATCGAATAAATATGTCGAGTGTCATTTATCAAAAATAAATAATATCTAATAGAAAATCTATCTATACTAAATATTGATTAATATATATATATAAGATAAAAAATAAGTTAGTTTGATGTTAGTTTTCAATAAAAATCTAATGTTATGCTGGAAAATAACTTATTAAAGAATCGTTTTTTATTTGTTTCTCACAGATATTTTTCTCAACATCAAATATAATATTAGTTTACATTTATTTGTTTAGGAATTCATATGGTTTTGTTTGACTTCATAAAGCAATGTTTAATCATACTTAGGTCAGTCCAAAAGTAGTGAGAGTAACGCTTTAATGCCATATAGTAAACTGAAGGAGAGTTTCTTTTATTATGAAACGATAGAGAAAAAAAATACTCTGTCTTTCTATGCTATTTGATCATACTTTAGTTAATATTATGATAGAAAAGTTTTCATAAGATTCGTTTTGGTTACTACACTACATACAGTCATCGATATGAGTTCGATTCTTAACTTTTTTCTTTATTCTACTTCTTTCTTTCTCTTATGTTTTTCGTTATTATCTTTTTTACCCTCATGCGTCGTTATGCATTAGGATAGACATCAGATGATGATCACAGATAAGAGACAGCAAAGAATTTTCATCAAGGTTTTATTTCGTTAAAGGCTCAAAGTAATCTCCTTCATTATCCATACACAATTTCATCCGTTCAATCCAGTTATCAAACATTTTTTTATACTCTTTTTTATCCAAAGAGTATATGAAATCTATCACAGCACGATGTAACGAGTCAGAATCGCTTTGATCACCTATGTTTTGTTTGATAAAGTCGAATAACCAGAAGTCACAAGGCGCTAGATCTGGAGAATTGGGTGGATGTGGTACTATTGTGAATCCTTGTGATTGCAGATAATCCGACACGGCTCTATGTCTATGAGGTCTAGCATTGTCATAGTGAATTTTCACAGCATGTGTTCCAGATGAAGGTCTTTGGCTCTCGAGTTCGTAGATGAGGGGCTGCAAACAATTTTCTATGTAATACTGCGTGCTCGATAGTCTGCCTAGATTCGATACGGTGGATAAAAACGGGGCCTGTTGACTTAAAAAAAATGCATAACGATGTTCTCGGAGCAAAACGACTACGTCGAACAAATTGTCGGTGGGGGATCTCCCGTTGCCACCCAAGCAGCATTCGATGCTTTCCGACCAATTTGTTTATGATAAAACCAAGATTCATCTTCCGTCACCACATCGCATAATCTCCACGTTCCTTGTTCGAATTTTGCTAAATTTTCTTTATGTATTCGAATTCGTTCAGCCCGTTGAGAAGCGGTCAGGTGTTTGTGTATATACCGAGCCGTAAATTTTTTGAGTTTCAAAACATCTGAGATTATTCTATGAATAGTCCCATGACTCAGACCAGTATTTTCTTGCAGCTCCTCAATTGTCACATATGGGCCGTCATTAATAGCGTTGCGAATTTGTTCGATATTTTCATCAGTCGTCTCGATCATCGGTCTTCCTATGGCCGCGCTTCATCTTCGATCTCTTCTCGACCTTCGCGGAACCATTGAGCCCATCTTGCAACAGTCGCGTAGGATGGAGCTTCGTCACTGAAGACTGTGGTTAATTCATCACGAATAATGGATGGTGAAATACCAAGTGCGGTACGCACTTTAATGTAGAAACGATAATTTTCCTTATCCATCAGTGACAGAAATCCGCTACTCTAAGACTGAATCTGACTATATTTCTTCAACTTTGCCACGTCTTCAATCCGAGTTCGTTGCCGAGTAGAAATCGGGATTTTGAAAAGTTTGTTTGTTCACACGTGAATAAGTAACAAATATGACTGTATAGAGTAACTGACTGAGAAGTAGAAGATAGAACAACTGACAGATACAGTGACAAAGAGACATAGGTGAAGTTAGCCTCATATTCGAGTAAATCCAGCCAATATTCGGCCCCAAAGCTGTCCCAGCTGCTCCAGACAGCACCAAAATAGAACTCGATGAGCTCTATCAATTGGTAACGTTGGATTTTCCATAGCTCAAACCATTCGTGAAAAAATCCCAAAATACTATTTTATTACCGTATGACTCCTATCACATGGTTACTACAAACAGCGGATATTCTTGTAGGAAGTTCTTCTAGCTCTTTCAACACGTTCCCAAATGTAACTTGACTGAGCCCTATCAATTGATCAGATATTTTGTTTCTCGAATCAATCTTCGTCGATTTGTGCCTATTGATGTTGGCTGTTGTGATTTGTCCTCGATTTTCATTCTTTTTTTATGTACTGAGCAATAATTGTCACGAATCTATTACTTTCGATTTAAAATTAATAGAAAACTCATGTTGATCTTCTTCGTGTTCATCTGATGTTGTCAATCTACAAATTGACGACATCGATCGAAAGCTAGGAGAAATGGTTGTGGTTATTTGACTTGATAATTAACAAAAGTGAATTTTACATCAGCAAATGTTTTTGACTCATCGTTAAATAAAAATTATACTCCAAAAAGAATGGTTCATTTACTTTTGAGAATAATAAATAGGCGCAATTCGAGCACAATAAGTGAGAAAAACGATCTACGAAAGCATATCATAATTCGTAGAAATTCATTATTCAATGTTGTTTATAGTAACACATTTTTGAAATTCCTCGATTTCTATTGAAAATTTTCATTGTAGTTTAGCTGTGAAAGAAAGATACTGATCATTAAATATGATCAAAACTAATTCAAGTTTGTTAATAATTGATAAAACGTATTCTTATTGCCAAAAATCATGTAACAAATCCAAAACGGATCTGCCATTTTCATCCGATTCTTCTAATCGGTTTTACAACAAGAACGACATCATGTTGTGCTATATTAGTGGAAAAAATACAAGTGTAATCACTTCCGTTGATGCATATTATGCTATATACGCAGTTCAAGCAGAATGCAGGATCATATTGCAAATAATTCATTGCATTGGAGATGCATAAAAGTGCCATTAACGAATAGCCGCCATTGCACAGCAGAAAAGTCATTCACTCACTACTGAACACGATCGTCCAGATTAACCGCAACATAAGTTATCAGCATGAATGCTTACAATAAATCAAAAAAGCAAAATTTCAACTTACTACCTGAATATTCCATGGACCTTCTGATGTATGAATAAATCTGAACTCAAATTACTATCATTTCGCAATTTTTAAAGACATAGTTTGATCTATAGAAATTCTGATGACATCCTCCAATAGAGCTCATCGAGTTCTACTTCGAACAAGAACAGAACACTTGGAACATTTTCCTGGGTGAATCGAGAGTACTTTTACTTTATTGGACTCCTAGTTTCTGCAGCGAAAAACAAGTATTTTCAGATGTTTACGATTACAGTTTTGAATATGGAACATCTGATTACACTATTGAAGAGACCACATCGAGTTGTACTTGGAACACAAATGGAATACCTCGAACATGTTCCTGAAGAAATCCCCGATAATTTTACTATACAAACTGTAATATTTAACCAATCTTTTCGCATTTTAGAACGCATACTTAGAGATAGAGAAACTCTACTTATTCCAATCGATAGCGCTCATCGAGTACACATTTTGGAACTCGCTGGAGCAGCTGAGACAGCTTTGGGGCCGAATCTCGGTTGAATTTACTAACCATATGGTAAGATTTCCATAGGAAATAATTAGTTTTTTGGGATTTTTTCACGAATAGTTTGATCTATGGAAAATCCAACGTTACCAATCGATAGAGCTCATCGAGTTCTATTTTGGTGCTGTCTGAGGCAGCTGGGGCAGCTTTGGGGCCGAATCTCGGCCGGATTTACTAACCTCATGGTAAGATTTCCATAGGAAATAATTAGTATTTTGGGTTTTTTGCACGAATGGTTTCATCTATGGAAAATCCAACGTTACCAATCGATAGAGCTCATCGAGTTCTATTTTGGTGCTGTCTGAAGCAGCTAGGGCAGCTTTGGGGCCGAATCTCGGCTGGATTTACTAACCCTATGGTAAGATTTCCATAGGAAATAATTAGTATTTTGGGTTTTGTGCACGAATGGTTTGATCTATCGAAAATCCAACGTTACCAATCGATAGAGCTCATCGAGTTCTATTTTGGTGCTACCTGGGGCAGCTGGGGCAGCTTTGGGGCCGAATATCGGCTGGATTTACTCGAATATGAGGCTAACTTCACCTACGTGACAAGGAGGGGTATATATAGTATCTGAAATGGAACATTCCAGAACATTGCGCGAGAACACTTTGATATGACCGAAAGGATAAGACTACAATAGAAAGTTCTAGAATGTTCATGTGACACTGGACAACGGACAGTCATGTGGACAGGCACGTGACCACTAAGTCACTATATCACAAATAACTTTCCTACAAACACGTTACTGGACAAAGTTTCTTTACAGACAGGAAAAAGACATGTGTATTAATACACACAAAAAGACGTCTGGCAATAGAAAAGATAATAAAGAAAAACATAAGAGAAAGAAAGAAGTAGAATAAAGAAAAAAGTTAAGAATCAAACTCACATCGATGACTATATGTAGTGTAATAACCAAAACATATAATACCAAAACGAATCTTATGAAAACTTTTCTATCATAATATTAACTAAAGTATGATCAAATAGCATAGAAAGATAGAGTTTTTTTTCTCTATCGTTTCATAATAAAAGAAACTCTCCTTCAGTTTACTATATGGCATTAAAGCGTTACTCTCACTACTTTTGGACTGACCTAAGTATGATTAAACAAATATAAATATGAAAAATGATTTATTTATCCTATAGAGAAGATAATAAATCTATTGATAAAGAGTGGTGAGAACGAGAATATCTATTCTATAACAATCCTATATCTATATTGATTAAATAAAATAATCTATTGATATTTTATATATATATATGTTAAATGAAAATAGGTGTTGGTGAAATCTATTGTTATAGGTAAATGTTTTTTTCATTTGAATATATGTTGATTATATAAACATCATTTAGTATTTAAGTTCGATTATCAATAATTAATAAACGAAAATCTTTTATAAAATATTGATTATGAAAATTGTTCAAGATAATTTTTTTTTAAATTTATTTATCATTTAAACTATTTTATTTGAAATCTTTTAACTTTTTATTAAAAATATATTTGATTATTCTTATTCAGTTAATTGATATTTAGACGAGACTTTCTTGTTGTTTTTTTTGTTATCATAAATATAATTAAATAATAAAAACATTTATTAATGAAATAATTTAATTAAAATTTGTTAAGATAATCAAATAAATAAGGTTAATTTTCTTATATAATAACATTGATTGGAATGTTTAAATAATTTCGATCGGTTTTTTCTAATTATTTATCAATAATGACATTAATCGAATGTCGAATATGAGAGTTCTATCATATGTTTATCTTAACATACATATATATATATATATTGAATTTCTAATGTCTTTAAATATATTGAATTGAATTTTTTTTTCTTGTTGAATAAATTTTTGATGTTTGTTCTTGAAAAAAAAAGACGCTGAAAAACATTGAAAATGATTGATTTATTTAACATAGTGCATCGATTGAAGAGTAAAACGGAGAAAAAAAACGCGTCGCCATCGTTTTTGCTCATTTTAGTTGACACAACAAACAAAATCTAATAATTGAATGGTAACAATAATAAAATAGTTGTCGTCGTCGTCGTCGTCGTTTTCGTTGTCTTGGTTAATAATAAAGAGCAAATGTCATTAGTATCATCATCATCAAATATGGTTTATGGTGATAGACAATTATCATCTTCATATAATAGAAAAAAAGTAATGACATTGCCACGAATTGAACATCCATCAAAAATGATAAATGAAGAAGATAAAAATTCATTAGATATTCGTGGAAGATCAAGAGATGGTCATGGAAATGGAAAATTAATAAGAAGTGAAACATCAACACCAGAATCTCGATATAATCGTCGAAGATCATCTTCATTTAAACATAGTTCGAATTCTTCAATTTATTCTCAAGAATTAAAACAAAAATCAGATCAATATGATAGTCAATATCGACAAGATCGAGACAAAGTTCGTTTACCAATATTTGGTAATTATATTTAATTTATTATAAAAAAAAACAAAAACAAAAACAATAATATTTTAATTAATTTAAGGTCATAGAGCCGAAAGTCGAATATCATCATCATCATCATCATCATCATCATCATCACCACCATATGGTATTGAAAATGGTCAAATAACTCCTCGAACATCACGTATTATTATTGATGAACTTGAAACAACATTAAGAGAAAAAGTTCGTTCACAAATTCATGATGTTCGAGCGAAATTTCGTCATGTTTCTGATATTGATTCAAATGGAAAAATCTCTCGACAAGCATTACGACATATTATTGCTTCAATATTTGGTAGTCAACGACAAATAGGACCTAATCAAATAGACAAATTATTAGAACGTCTTCATTTAAAACATTTAAATAAAATAAGGTAGTTTTTATTTTCATTTCATTTTTCTTTGTTTCTTATTTTTTTCTTATTTTAAATAGTCTTGATGAATTTCTTAATTCATTATTTAATGTTGAAGAAGAATTACCCAGTTGGTTATCTCATCAATCCTCAATAACACCTCAAGAATTTCTAACTAAACGAACAGCTGCACAAATGTTTATTATTCTTAAAGATAAAATTCGTACTAAGTAATATTTATATTATTTAAGAAACAGAATACACAAAATATTTTATTTTTATTAAATTAGACATAAAGATTTAGTTAGTTTATGTCCATCAATAGATGGTGGTCCATCTTCAAGAATATTTAAAGCACAATTTCATAATACACTTATTGATATGGGTTATAGAATGAAAGATAAAGAATTTGATAAATTATGGGATAAGTTAGTTTTAGTTTTCAAATTTTCATTCGATTAGTTTTTTTTTTTATTTAAAAAAAAAAAGATTTGATACAGATGGTTTTCATGCAATTGATTCGGAGAAATTTCTAAAACGTTTAACTAATGATGAATATATTAATGAAACTCCATCAAATCGAACAAGTGAATCACAAGATCAACAAACAGCTATTTTAAAAGTAAAAAATAATTATTATTCTCCTTCTTCTTCTTCTTCGAATTATCATTCACAAGTTAAAACACCTAACATACATGGTATTATTATTATTGATAATATAATATAATATAATATAATAAATAGGTTGTCATTCTCAATTGGATGATTATCAAATCGATAAATGGCTAAATCATAAATTTCCTCAAGGTTTTTCTGATCTTGAAAAATCACTTGAACAATTAGATAGAAAACAAGTTGGAACGGTTATTTATCTTATTGATAAATTAATTTATTTAATTAAATATAATTATTTTGTTTTTGTTTTTGTTTTTGTTTAGTTAACACGTCATGAATTTATTGAAGAATTAAAACGTTTTGGATTAATATTGGAAGGATATATTCTGGATTTTTTATTAAAACGTTTTAATATTGATTTAAAATTAACAAATGGATTAATTCCTTATCATGATGTTATTCAAGCTTTTAAACAACGAACTCATACAACAAATAAACGAATTTATTCAGAAAATAAATCGTTAGTTTTTAGATTTTTTTTTTATTTAAAGAAGAAGAAAATAATATTAGTTTTTAATTGAAAATAGATCAAAACAAGAATATAATAAAAGATCATTAGAAGGACAAGTTAAATATTTATTATATTTAAATAATGAAAAAGTAAAAGATGAATTAAAACGATTAGATAAAAATGATAATGGTACTATTTCAAAAAGTGATATGAAATCATTTATTGAAGATTTACTTCAATTTCCATTAAGTCCTGATGAATATTATCATTTATATAAACAATTTCCAATTGATCAATATGGATTTATAATATATAACGATTATTTAAAACAAATTATGGATGATAGAAAACTGAACCAACAAGAACAAGAACAAGAATACGAATATGAAAATGAATATGAACAAGAAAAAGAAGAAAAATCAATTGTGTAAGAATTTATTTTATTTGTAAGTATTTAATATATTGTTTTGTGTTTTTTTCTTTTTTAATTTGAATTAAAATAAAAGAATTCCTCAATGGGATTATATGAGATCAAAAAATATTCGTGAAAGTCTTGATCAAGAACATATTAAAAATAAAAAACGTGAAAAACAATATCATTTTAATGAAAATAATCAAGAAAAAACAAGATCAATTGAAGAGGTTTTTTTTATTTAATTATTTTTCTATATTAAATTTTTATTTGAAATTTTGTTAAAGCTTCGTCAAATAGTTAAAACAGTTATTAGAAATCGTTATAAATATATTGAAGATGAATTTAAAAAACTTGATCGATCTTCTTATGGAGAATTAACACAAGATATTTTATATGATTTATTTAAACGGTTTGTTCATCTATTTTCTTATTTTATTTTATTTTTAATATAAACAATATTAAATATTTCAAATATTTTAGTCTTGATATTAAACCTGAAATAAAACGTTCAGAAATAATTTTACTTTGGTCTCGATGTCATTTAAAAGAAAATGGAAATTTAGATTTTTATCAATTTTTACGTGAATTTGGTTATACAAAACGTTCAGCACATTATCCAAATGCAAAACAAAATCCACCAAAACGAGGTGATGCCGATTTTTTATTAACATCAAGAAAATTATATGGAGATTCAGTTCTTGTTCATGGTACTGCACTTAATGCTATTCGTTCAAATTGGGATCAATTACGAAAAGAATTTACTCAATTAGATCCATATAGAACTGGTTATATTCAATCAGAGGAATTTGATGAGATTTTAACTGAACTTTGTCCTCAAGTTAATCAAGAAGATCTTGATATGATTAAATTTAAATTTCAAACAAAACATGATTCAAGGTAATTTTAGTTTTATTTTTCTTTTACAAATAACAAATGAGAAATATTTAAAAACAAAAAATTCAATTTATTTAAGTTTGAACAATTTTTGTTGTTCCTTTACATTTAAACAAATGATTATCATTAAAACTATATTGAATATTTTAATAAAAGTTCTTTTATTTTGTTTTTTCTATATTAAATATGTGACTATTTTATTTGATATCTTATTCAATAGGATATATATATATATATATGCTTGATTTTTATTTATTTTTAATATTATATTTGCTAATTAATTTAAACTAAATGAGTTTTATAGAAATGGATAGATTGTCAAAAATCCTTTAAATGTTTCTATAATCTCCTAAGAACAATTCTTTATATTGAAATCGAGTTAACTGGCTCATTTTGATTTTTACAATAGTCAAAAAAATTTCTAATCGATTATAGATTTATCAAACATTGGAGAGAGGAAACAAACAAAAATATAAATAAATATATGTTTAGCTGTTAACAAAGTTTTATTCTAATAGGGGAAAAGGGCAATATTATTATTTCTTATCAATCTTCACTAATATCCGTCATTAGAAGAATTTCAATATAAATCTTAACTATATTTCAAATTTATAGAAATATATTAGAATTTTAATGTTTAAAAACAAATAATAATAAAGTCATGAGAATATCGAGAGATAGTTTCTTGTCTGATGATTGTTTGGAATTGACTATTTTTAAAATCGATCTATTTAGAATAATTTCATCATTCAATTATTCTCTCTCTCTCTCTCTCTCGAAAATAGTCTAGGAAAATCAAAATAAATATATCAGGCTTGTGAGAAAATTCTTTGTTGATCATTAAATAAGGATCACTAACAAAAACTGTCATTGACGATAATTCTAATGTAATTTTTCTCTTCATAGAATATCCTTACTTTATATTTGATAAATAGTGAACTTATTTTCGATAGATCAATTTCTAAACACAAAACTTCTGAAATATTTGAAACAAACATTGATCGACACTATTTTTTCTCTCAATTGGAAATATTATTTGTTTGAATTCTTATTGAAAATATTATTATGATGACAAATTTCACTGAATATTGATAAAAATAACCAAAGAGCAATCTAGTTTTTCTATTTAAACAAAACTTTCTTAACGAGAAATATATTTTTACCGGTTGGTTTTTTTTTCTGTTGTGGATTTTCGATAAAACTATAATTGATGAAAAACTCTTTTGTCTATTATTAAATTGATAGTGAAATTAACTTGATTATTTTGTCAATGATTATTTTTAGATGTTTTCAACAAATTTAATAATATAAAGCGAATATATATATTGAATAATATACCAAATTAAATCTTTTTGTAAAAACAAAAAAAAAACTTTTATAAAAATATTCGACGATTGTTTCTATAATAATCTTGTTAATATATTTAAGAAAAATATTTTTCAAAATCAAATAGATTTTATTAATATGAAAAAGATGATTAGTTTATTGAATATAATTATATATAAATCTATTTTAAAATCATATTTTATTATTTATTAAGAAAATTATTTTAAAAAGTCGATTTAAAAGTTTTTTTTTTTTTTCGATAAAATTCTTGTAAAATAAAAGAATATTGAGTCGAATATTTCAAAATTTAGTTTAACTTTAATTTAAAAAAAAAATATTGAAATGAATTTTTGAATTAAAATAAAATTTTTTTTATTTAAAAAAACAAAAAGAATGAATTATGTACAATTTTTAAAACATCATGCTCCAATAAATGAATTAATTGATGAAATTGATAATCCAACAAGAAGTAAATTATCAACGATAAATGATAATTCTCCTCGTATTTCATCAAATCAATCAATTAATAATCAACTTGATTATAAACTTCGACGAACGGTTTTAATTTTATTATTATTATTATTTATATTTAAATAAATATTTTTTTCTTTTTTCATCTTTAGTTATCTGATTCATATAAACAATTACGTCGATCATTTAAACAAGAAGATATTAAAAATAGTGGATCAATTCCAATAATGATTTTTAAAAATATTCTAAATGAATATAAATGTCATTTAAATGATGAAGAATTTTATCAATTAGCATCACAACTTGATACTAAAATGGATGGAACTATTAATTATAATTATTTTATGCAACAATATCTCAAAAACACTTAATTTTTCAATTTTTCACTTCGTTTTTCTTTTTTTTTATTGAATTTATATGACCATTTATCAATATAATAAATTTTTTTAATAATATTCTTTATCTAATTATTATTAAATGAGACTTAGACTATTATAATAAGTATCATGCAATTCCAATTTCGCCGATTATCTCTCAACCAACTTTACACTTACTAGAAAGCAGCAGTACTTATTGATAAGGAGACGCCAATCAAGGTAGTGATGGATAGCAGAGTCACAGAAAACGTTTGTATCAATGTGAATGTCAACGATAATCTATGAAAGTAAACAGACTATTGTTAATAAAAGTGTCAACGTCTCAAAGCCATCCATAATTGCTCTTAGACACCATACTTCGATTTACTCTTTTGATTCATTGTCTGCATACAAGCCAAAGCACTATTCAAGACATATCTTCTTTCGTTTGACTCTGGTAATATGAAAGACTTAGATTACAAATAATCCAGTGATTTTTCAGAATATATCACAAATTTTACTTTATCTACTGTTATTCAAGTATTAGAGATTTTATTAAGATAAAGAGCAATAATGAAGTATGGTCAACCAAATCTATCACACTAGTAACCATTGAAAAAGCAAATCAAGTAGAAGGAAGTAATACAAAAAACTTAGTCATCAAAAAATTCAAGAAGTGGAAAACTTGGTATGAAAGTTTATACAAGTATTAATTGTTTGGGAATCGTTTAATGAAAAAACTTTTCATTGGCAATTCTTTTTGTTAATCGAAAATGACACTTCACAGAGATCATGACAGATATCTAATTGAAATGACCTATACATTTCAGTAGAACTGATTTGTCATCAAACTTTTTTCTCTTCGCATTCAAACACGGACTTGCACCGTTAATATTTTCAAAGAGCTTAGACCATATTTATGTAGAGTGATCTGAAACGGAAATTGTATAGATTCTGTGAGTTCAATTATACTTGATGTTTATGACGACGTAGACGTATGAGATCATATGATCATAGTAAAATATCTTATTGGTTATTTCTCGAGCGTCTATTCATCGTTGTTTGCCATTCATTTGTTATCAATGGTCATTTATTGTCTTCAGAAAGCATTCATCAGTAAAGTTCACACAAAGATGAAAACAATATGCATTATCTAACTTCACCCACTAATAATGTTTAGTATGGAGAATAATCGATGATAGAATATCTTGAAATCTATAAACAACAAACAGATTATATCAAAGGTAACTATTAGTTCATTCACTATAGTTTCTGCTACTCGGACACTGACGTCGTAATTTGTACATGCTGACAAATGATGTTTTGATGTATAATAAGATATACAGCGAAACAAAGGTTTTTTTTTCTCGCTTAAGAAGCGATCATCATTTTTCCTCTAGCACATTCTATCACAGTCAACAGCGGACATGCTTCATTTATTCATGAAGAAAAGAAAAATCACTCTCTATCCTATATGCCTGATCGATGTGTATATAATAATGAAGCACATGATGTAAAATCACAAACAACTATACATTTAACCAATATTCAACGTCAACATATAAAAAATGGTCTGTATTATAAAAGTTAGCTATTTTATTGCTCTCTTACTTGTAATGACCACTACGGCTATGGCGAGGACGCTCAAGCGAAACGACGACAACACTATGGATATTAGTGACAAGAAATCAAATCTTCGAACATTGATCGCGCTTATTTTTCGAAAACCTAAGATTTGGTCAACTATAGTACACAGATACTTCTGAGTTAAGTATTGACCCATCGTTCGTAACAGCGAACAATATATCGAGACAGCAATTTACTTGTTAGTAGTCACTCGGCATGTGTTAATAGATGATTTTATCATATCTATTTGTTTGTGCAGTGAGCAAATTATTCGAATAGGACACTTGTTTAGACTATCCACTTCCAATGATCTGCTTGATCATATCACAAAATTCAAGTTTTTCTCTGAACTGAAGAAGATATTCAAATAAATTTGTGTTACTCATCATTTATGTGTTGTGTATGACCAATTATCCATTTAGCTCAAAATCTCCGTTTCATAATGGGTAGAATATGTGAATAGAATATTGCTGCGAATTAGCAATTTACCGCGTGTACAGCTACATACAATCCACACCAAATCAATGCTTACCATTCAAATAAGTATTTGAACTGAATATTGCTTTAAATTATTCTTTAATTGTCTGCTCACTGATCATGCAGCTGACACCAAATATATGCTCCAAAACGATCAAGGTATGTAAACTCAATCATGATATAGATTACTCATGAGCTGTGTGTTTATATATCAAATAACTAGCTTTCACTGTTTGATTTCAAAAGAACAGAATATCCGTGTTGAATTCTTATCTAAATCATTAATTTATCGTGTGTTCATTAACCATGCAATTAATGTCAAGCATGTATTTTAGATCGAGCAATACTTGTGAACGAATCCTTGATGTGAATTATTCATTGACTGTGTGTCCATCGATCAATTTACGAACTAGAAAATTTTTCTTCAGATTGAAAAAATATTTGAAAAGAATTGTTGTTCGAACTAGTCATTTTTTGCATATCAATCGGTCAATGTATGAAAAACCAAATTTTCTCCGATTTCCGAAGGATACTTAAACAGAACTTTACTTCAAATTATTCACTTGTTAAATACTCTTCAATCATATTATCATTTCTGTTTCATTCGAACTAAACAAAATAATTGAACAGAATCTTTGCAGTTATACCTATTCATTCGATAGGTTTTTTTTGAGTGCGTAATTGATTTAAAATCTCTTTCAGCTGATCACAGTAATTGAATCAAACTATGATGGGCATAATTCGTGCACCGTTTGGTTCTCCAGCATGTTACTCGTGAAAATTAGTCTTTCAAGTGAGCCAAGAACTTGAATTGAACTGTACGAAGATGTGTTTGTTTGTCTTATATATTGTGATAACGTTATCAAATACGTTTGTTTCGCTCTCGTGTTATCAAAATAGTTGAATATGATCCGTGTCTGCAATAGTCATTCAACAAGAGATTCTCAGTAGTATAGGTCGACTTCGAATCTTTTTCGAAGTGAGCAAGATATCTGAATGAATATTTTGTCTGAATTCTTCATTTGTCATAAACTAACTGATTATAAACTTAACCTCTGGTAGTTACTTTGAATCAAGAAGAATATTTGAATAGAATCTTGATGGAAGAAATACATCTATCGTGTCCTCTTCAGTAATGTATTTAACAATAAATGCTCATCTCATGATGGCCGATATACATGAATAGGATCTTTCTCTGAAACATCCAGATACTGTGATGTGCAGTGAGATGCACAACGCCCACACTTGGTTTCTGATGATGTCAAGTATGTGAACAGGATGTTAATCTGAATCATTCATATGTTCAATGCTCTACAGTGAGATGAAGAATGTTCTCATTTGTTTTCTGATGATATCAAATGTGTGAATAGAATCTTCGTGGAAATCATTCATATATGTAGTAACGTACAGTGAAAAAAAAATGTTGTCACTTGTTTTCTGATGATGTCGAGTACATGAATAGGATCGTGCTGTGAATCGTTCGTCTTTGGAGGGATTTTCCGTCCCATATAAAACACCCACTCACTGTTTCACAGTGAGAAATATATTTTGAAGAAGTGTTTGTTTCTTTCGGTCATTAACTTTAGGATCATGGCTTAAACCACATCGGCGAAATGTTTTTATTGGAAACATGTGAAATATATGAATATATTCTTCGTCTGAATCGTTCTTATGTCGACTAATATGCAGTGAGATGAAGAATGTTGTCAGTTACTTTGTGATGACACCGAGTATATCAGCAGAATCTTACTGTGGATCATACGTAAGCCCAGTGATGTGCAGTGAGATCAAGAATGTTGTCACTGGGTTTCTGATGATGCCCAGTATGTGAATAGGATCCTCTTGTGGGCCATTCAGATGCTGCGTGATGTGCAGTGACATGAAGGATGCTGTCATATAGTACCCGATGATGGCAAATACGTGAATAGGAACTTACTATGACTCCTTCGTATGTTGAGTGATGTGCAGTGACATTAACAATATCCTCACTTAGGTTCTCACGATGCCCAATATGTGAATAGGATGTTTATGCGAATCATTCGTATGTTCAGTGATGTTCACTGAGATGAAGAATGCTGTCATTCGGCTTCTGATGATTTCAAATACGTGAATAGAATATTCCTGTGAACCATTCATATGTGGAGTGATGTGCAGCGAAATGAATAACCTTCTCAATCGGCTTCTAATGATATCTACCACGTGAATAGGATCTTGATGTGAATCATTCATGTGGAGTGATACACAATAAGATGACGAGTGTTGTCACTTGCTTTCTGTTGACGTCGAATATGTGAATAGAATTTTCGTGCGAATCAATCACATGTTGCGTGATCTGCAGTGAGATGCAGAATGTTGTCACTTGGTTTCTAATAATGTCCTGTATGTGAAAGGCATCTTTTTGTGAATCGTTCATATGTTGAGTGATGTGCAGTGAGATGAAAGATGCTGTCACATAGTTTCTGATAATGTGAAATATGTGAGCAGATTCTTTATGTGAATCATTCATATGTTGGGCCATGTGCAGTGAGATCATATATCTTGCCCACATGGTTTTTCACGATGTCGAATATGTGAATAGAATCGTGATGTGAATCATTCATATACTGGGCGATGTGCAGTGAGATAGAGAATCTTGTCACTTGGTTTCTCATGATGTCGAGCATGTAAATAGGATTTTCCTGTGAATATTTCGTATCTGGAGTGATGTGCAGTGAGATGAAGAATTTTGTTACTTGGTTTCTGATGATGTCGAACATGTGAATAGATCCTTCGTGAGAATCTTTCGTATGTACAGTAATGTGTAGTGAGACGAAGAATGTTGTCACTTGCTTTCTCATCATGTCGAGTATGTGAATAGGGTCCTGTTCTGAAGCATTCATATCTTTAGTGATATGCACTGAGATGAAGAATTT